GAGAGAGAGAGAGAGGCTTGTATGGTTTTTGTAGTATAACTCCTATTTCTATTTTTTTTATTTATTTTCAAGTTAGAGATGGGCCCAATGCATTTATTTGTGAGTATAAGAAAAAGGATACCATAAAAAAAGGGATTTTTTTATTTGGTAATGTTCAAGAAAAGAAAAAAGGATTTTCAGTAAAGAAATCATTTATCTGTCGTACATAGAGGTCACAATCATTTCCACTCATTCCATGTCAAATTGGTATTATTATTGGTGGATGATAACCATGTGCAAGAAGTCATCATACATGGTAGATAGGCCTTTTTTTGGGTGAATTACAATTAGGTTTTTAAAGGCTGCTTATGTGATCTCACTATTTGGCTGCTTATGTGATCTCACCATTCTGTTTCTTCAGTGTTCTTGTAAAAGGATGATACTATGTTTTCCTTGGGTATTTTCTAAGAGAGAGAGAGAGAGAGAGATTCATGTCATTTTCAGTATTTAGGTCTCATCCTGAGTGTTTGATTTCTTGGGTTTCTGTTGGAAACAATGTTCATCAACTCGGCTCAGGCCCCGAACTTGGGCGCTGCCTGAGGCGAGTAACTCGGGTGAGTCATGGGGCAAAAAAAAACACCCCTACAAAGACAAAAAACTGAAAAATTGTTCAAAATAAAATGAAAAGTAAAAATCAAAGGAAGCTAAAAGCAACATCAAAAGTCTAAATAAGATGAAAAAAAAAATTATACAAAACATGGATCTGGAAAATTGATTTATAGTTGGATAACTTACAAAAAATCTAAAAAAAGAGCGAAATATAAAAATAGGACAAGGAACACTCACAAATCAAAATCAGAAACATTAAAGTTACATACACAATTTAACATAATTTTTATATTTTTCTATTTCTTATATAACCTTGAGTTTTACCCGAGTACTCTCGGTCGAGTCCCAGAACAGTGGTTAGAAGTAGAACCAGTCGTTATTGGAATTCTGTACCGAGTTGGGTTGCAGGTTCTTGAACAACTAAATTTGGAGAATGGTATTGCCACCTTTTCACTATCAGCAGAATGACCATGAACAGAGTATCATTTTGGAAAAACCACATTTGCTATGATATTTTATCTTCTCTCTTTTTGCTTGCTCATTACTTTAGATTTAAAGTTTGAAACTCAAAAGTGAATTGAATGCCTTAAAACTCCTCTTACATTGCTTCCCCTCTTCTTTGTTCAGTTAGAACACATCAAAGAACAAAATTAGTTGCGTTATCTTCAAGGCACCCCTCATAGCTTCTCAAGGAGTTACTAGCTTCTACATATGAATATTGCTTAAGAATTTTCCTCAGAGGCAGTGCCCTGCCGCTTCCCTCTCTCGGTCGAAAAATAGTAATTTTCTGGTCAAGGATGTCAGTTAATAAGGTTCCAGATATAGCTTGGGACCATTGCACTCTTCTTGGTGGAAAGAATCGTAAGGTCAAGTGCAACTATTGCGGCAAAGGGGTGACTGGTACTAATCGTCTCAAGTATCACCTCGCATGTATACGTGGAGATGTGATGCCTTGTGAAAGAGTTCCTTTACAAGTGAAAACACTGATGGAAACTTCTATACTTGAAAGGTTGAGACAAAGATTGACCAGTGAGATTGGGCCGGAAGACCAAAATTTTCCATGGAGCAGGGATTTACGCAAGTTATACGATAAACTTCAATCAAAGTCTGAGGAATCCAAAGCCACTAAATCAACTACTAACAAGAAGGGGAAGGTAGACATAGAGAATAAACTCAAGAGGAAGATGGAAATTTTTAATCCTGTTTCTCTCGCTCTACAAGGTTCGGATGACAAATGGAGGCATGCTTGTAGGTCCATTGGTAGATTTTTCTTTGAGTCCGGTGTTGAAATAAGTGCTTCTGAGTCTCCTGCCTTCCAGAGCATGATAGATGCCATAATTAGCTGTGGTTTTGGATTCAAGAGCCCAAGCGCCAGCGAATTAAGAGGTTGGATCCTAAAGGAAGAAGTGAGAGAAGTTAATGAGCGTTTGAAAGAGGTGAGATGTTCATGGGCAACGACAGGGTGTAGTGTATTATGCGATACTTGGACCGATGAAGAGGGACGAACTTTCCTAAACTTTGTTGTTGACTGCCCCAAAGGTGCCATATATCTCAAATCTATTGATGCATCAGAGTTCATTGAAGACTCAAACAGTTTATGTAATTTAATTGAGAGAGTCATTGAGGAGGTTGGAATTGAAAATGTGGTACAAGTAGTCGCTAATAGTGAATTTGTCCATATGAAGGACGCGGGCCGAAAATTGTTGGAGAAATATACGGGTATCTTTTGGAGCCAATGTTCAGCACATTGCATGAGTCTCATGTTAGAGGAGATAGGTAAAATGAATGATGTGAAGGTGCTATTGGATGACGCAAAGTCAATAACAAGGTTTATTTATAACAAAGCTCAAGTTTTGAAAATGACAAGATTGCATACGAAAGGGCGGGAATTGGTTCAACCTGCCAAAACAGGGATTGTTGGTTGCTTTCTTACGTTGCAAAGTATTGTCTCCGAGAAAGAGAACCTAAGGAACATGTTTAATTCATCTACATGGAAGACATCTATTTGGGCATCTCGAACTGAGGGAATTGAAATAGCAAATTTGATTTGGGATCTCAAATTCTGGGAAAGAGCAGAACTGGTTTTAAAGGCTACAGTTCCACTTATTCAAGTTTTGAACTCGTTAGATGATAAACCTTCGATGGGCTACATTTATGAGGCCATGGATCAGGCAAAAGAGACTATGAGAAGGAATTTTGGAAATGATGAAGTGCAATACCTACCATTTTGGAAACTTGTAGATGACATATGGAACAAGAAGCTCCATAGCCCTCTTCATGCAGCTGGTTATGTCCTAAACCCGATATACTTCTATTCAGTGGATTTCTTTAGTGATGCAGAAGTTTCCAGTGGTCTCATTGAATGCATCGATCAGATGATTATGGATCTTCACTTACAAGACATGGTACTCCAACAGCTTGAGGAATACAAAGCAGCCAAGGATGGCTTTGCAGAGGGGATGGTTATTAGTCAGAGGAATGAGTGTCTCCCAGGTTTGGTGAAAAAAAAAACTCCTTTTTTTCCCTAAAAAAAAGAAAGACAAAATCAGGTTGTATAGGAAGAATACTATAATCCAATGAACTAAGGAAAACTCATAGTCCATCGGGTCATCACCATCCATATAATTGATGGGTGGTGATAGACAGAGTGGGACCCTGCATTGGTCACGTCTTGATCTAGTGGGTCCCATTACTCCGTCTCTCCAAATTGGACTCTGGTTTCTCCAAGTTCGGATTTTAAAGGAAAATGAGTTTGGATTGTGGTGTACTTAACCTATGACATTCCTTCATCTTTTTGTACTTGGTTTTCTGATCTGTCGCTCATGTTTTCAACTGAATTGCGAATGCAGCTGAGTGGTGGTCATCATGCGGGGGGCACTGCCCAAACTTGCAAAGAGTTGCAATTCGTATACTGAGCCAAACTTGTACAACCTCTAAATGCAAGCTTGACTGGAGTTTGATGAGGCAATTGCATTCAGGGAAAAGGAACAGAATAGAACAACAAAGGTTGGCTGACCTGGTCTCTGTTCACTATAATCTCCAATTGAATAATATCAAATCACCTCTGAGAAGCTACAGACCCACTACAGAAATGGAGTTAAACCAAATGAGTGATTGGCTTGTTGGATTTCAAGACCATGGTGAAACTTCAAATTGGATGGATTTGGAGTTTGAGGAAACTGAGGTTGCTGACAAGGCTTGTGACCAAGGGCTTCCGATCTTTCAACCCAAGGAAGAATTGGACTTAGAAGATTATAAAAACCAGGGGGTGAGCTAGCAAAAGTATTGACTGGGAACTAACAGAAAACAGGAAGATCTGCATTCTATCTATGTAATTACAATACCCCCCCCCCCCCCCCAAAAAAAAGAAAAATCTGAACCCGGATGTACATTTAGTCTATGTCCATTCTTTGTTGCCTTCATGGCCAAGTCTTGCTGGCTACCAAGATTTTATTTGTTAGGTTTCTTATATAATCCGTGAAGACTCGGACTCCACTGAGCCGAGTGCCAGACTTTGGCTCCGGACCCTGGCCGGTCCTGATCCAAGTGGCTTAAAACACTAATCCAAAGTAATCAACCTAAGCAATTGACTCTCTCTCTCTCTCCACTATATTTTCTGCCTATCTTGCTGTATATTCAAAATTGTATTGCACTAGAAAATGAAGAAAGAATTGTGGTGTGGGGTTCATGATTCTACTAAGGCGGAACCAAGGCCTGTTCTGCAAAACTTGATGTAGTTTAATGGTGCATTCAGATCCATTTCTGGATGCTTTGTAGGGCAGATGAGCTTGGTTTACATGAGTACAAGCTTCAAATTGAACTCCTAGAATTCCCTCTTACAAACCAGGTGAATTGAAAAACATTGATGACGAGCTCAAATTAAATGTTTAATAAAGTTAACAGGAAAATCCAATTTTATTTTCTAAATTTAAAATTAGTTCTTTAACCTTCATATTTTGCGTACTTGAGTTTGACCTTTCTGAGAGCATACAGTCTATTTAGATTTTAGTTGTTTTTCATTGGATTAAGCTGACATGTAGCTGAAAAAAAATACTAAAAATGGTGAATGAGAAAACCAAAATTTACCTCTTTTTTTTTTAATTATTTTTTGATTGGGTGAGGTTTCGGTAAGGTTGGTGCCTTAAACCATGGCTCACCCCATAATGAGGTGGAGAGATGTTGTTCAAGTGCCGAAAATCCGGTATGCAAATCTCTTTTTATATCAAATTATGAAATCTTGGAAATTGACAGTCTATATAATATATTATAAGATACATTTTTTCCACTCATCCAATAAAAAATACACTCTTTTCAAACTTAAAATGCCTTTTTAATTTTCCACATCCATTCATCTAGAGGTTCAATGATTAATTGGAGGTTTTTTTTTTTTTTTTTTTGTTTTTTTAAATGAAACAATTTTTTCCGGTGAACTTTTTAGGTGCTCCTTATTTTCTATGGTATAAGATTGGCAATATAAACTTTTCCCCCTTTTTGTTTTACTTTTTCCTACTATTCCGCAATTGAATCCCATACATTTTGAGAGGCATTTTGAAATCAAATCAATTATTTTGATAAAATTCCCTAATTTTTATTAACAATACTTCCCTAACAAAGGCCAAAATTGTGTAACGACCGAAAAACATTTCTAGTATTTTCTAATTCTCCATATTTTAGGGTAATTTGCCCTCTGGTCTAGCACTAACCTTTTCTTTTGTCAGCTTTGCCGTTTGGTAAATAGTTTAATTTTTTCATTTTCATTTCTTTTATTTTCTTTAAATGTGGGGATATTGTACCGTTATCCAACGGATGCCAAGCAATCTGATGATGCAAATATCTGACTAGCTACTGGATTTATTCTAATGAGCAGTTTGATATATGGAATATTGAACCGCTTGTATGTAGCTATCTTTCGATGTATGAAATATTGAATGGCTTGTATGCCGCTATCTCATTGAGAAAATCTCCAATATTATGAAATATTGAACCGTGGCTATCTTATTGAGAAAATCTCAATCGGATTGACACAAAACATTGGATCGTATTTTTTATAGTACCATATTTGCAACATTGCCGGACTCCCAAGTTACCCTTAAACAACGCTAATAATCTATATTTAAAAATAAATAAATAAATAAAATTTTGATTTTAGAACACCATTAGACCATGATAAGTTTTTTAAAAAAAATAGAGTTTTAGTACAGGTAGTGGACTTGAGAAAAAAGGATGCACTTTTCATAGCCTTTACCAAAACAAAGTAAAGTCTCACTTCAAATCCTCATCCAAAAAACATTTTGGGCATTGATAATTTTTATGATCGCTGTTCCAACACGAAACATGAAATTTAAAGCTCAAAAAATCATACAGATCATGCGGACATGTAATCAATTACTTATAAGTCGAAATGGATGGTCTATATACTATATTATAATATACACTATTTTTACTTCTTCCTATTTTATGTTAATAGGGCTAAAGTCTAGTAGTTTCCGAGTTTAAAAGAAAATTGTTTCATACGGGTTGGATTTCATTTCTATATATACACGGTCCAAAAAGTGTAAAGCATTTATTTTAAAAATGGACGAAAGTAGATGCTGCATCTAAAAACAATAGAAGCTAATAGTATAAATGTTGTTTTTACTAAAATTATTTTTTTTAATTTTTAAAATTTATTTATTTTTTTTATATTTATGATCTCCATGGGAGAGATTATGTGTGCTTAAAAATTAAGTCTTAAAATTTATTTTAAAAATAAATTAAATAGATTTATTAGGAAGCCCGCATTGACACAAAACCGGGTCCGAGTTTAAATTACCCATACAAAAACTTTGTAATGGCACGTGTCAATGCTGACTCCCATTAAAACTTGACACGTAGAATCAAGTAGGAGCGCCCAAAAAGCTGTTCTTTCTCCTCGCATGAAAAAGTAGAAAAAAACAAGCCCGCCTGCCATTAGAGAATCAGAGAGCTCTCCATCTTTCAAATCCTTAAAGCCATTTTCTCTCTCTAACTTCTTGGTTTTCTAGTGTTCTTTTCTCTCTCTAGCTTCTTTAATCGCAGTGGAATGCTCAGTTTTTGGTTTGGATGTAATCTTCTTTCCCATGCTTCAACAGTAATGCATGTGTGTGTTATGAGAAAAGGAACTTTCTTCAATCCCTATTCCATTTTCCCTCTCTGGTTTCTTCAATAGCGATGGGCTCTTTGTTGGGTTTTCATATAATCTTCTCTCTCATGCTTCCGCCGCAATGCATGCGACTGTTGGGGTAAAAGGAAGTTTTTCTCTCTCAATCCTCACTCAGAAAGCATAGTTTTGGGGTGAGATACAAGTTTCTCTCTCTAGACCAGGCCAGGTTTGCGTCTTTGTTTATCTCTCGAGCTGCCTTTTATTTTTCATGGTTTTATCTATCTCGATGGGTGTTATGCGCCATGTTTAAGGTTTTCTACTCTGAAAAAACACAGTTTGGCTTTTGTGTTTTGCTTTTCTGAATCAGAGAAACTCTGTTTCTGAACATTTTAAGCAGTTCAAGCTTTCTTTTCTTAAAATGGCGGGTGAAAAAAATTTCTGAATCCATGTATCCGAGGCTTTGTGATCAACGAGCCAAGGGGAGAGAGAGCTTTATCTGTAGAAGAAAATGTTAGTGGTAAACGGGGGAATGGGTAAGATAGTCTTGAGTTTGGCAGAATACGATTTAAAGCTGAAACGTAAGCTCTGGGCTTTTTTATTTGGAAAATGCATGACACTTTTGTTAGTCTTGGTTGATTGTGTGTGTGTGTGTGTGTGTGTGTGTGTGAGAGAGAGAGAGAGAGAGAGAGAGAGAGAGAGAGAGAGAGAGA